TTAAAGAGACTGATTAAACTCCAACCATAAAAATACCAAATGGAGCTGCCCCTGTGCACTCTGCCCCTGAGTTGCTGAGAAAGTGTCTTGCACACACAACAGCACAGAGCACGCACTCACAGAAGGTACATCGACTCTGTTCCAGGTGGCAGAGACGAGAGCCAGGCCTTTAACAGTTATGCATGTGAGATCCTCAGGAATCAGCAAATAAAACGCAAGGTTTCTGACCCCTTTATCTTGTTCAGATTATCATACTGGGGCCTAGGGACTTACAATATCAAGCTCATTATGCAAAGGGACATTCTATGTGCCATTGTTCTAGAGGGCATGAAAACAGAATTACAGAGACTCAATTCTTGCCCTCTAATGTTAGAATCTGTCCATCCCTTCTCTTGTTCTTGTAATTTGGCATTGGCTTAAACAATACATGTTATAAAGGCTTGGTTGCTGCATGTAATGTTGAACCTACTGGGCTTATTACACAATGAGTAAACTTAAGAAGGAAGGTATTTTATTTATAGCACCACTATATCACAATTTAATTTCCTCTTTACCATGGCAACAAGGCAGCATGTACCAATTCTGCACTGGTGGAATCTCACCAGTAAAACATATTTAGAATCCTGCTTTGGGGGGAAGGGTAGCTGATAAACTACCTAAAAGCAATACAAATTCTTGACTAAAAATTCCAGTCAGACAGATTATGTGATCTGCCAAGAAAAGAAGGGGGTGGAATACCTGGTTGGATTCAGCCGGGGCGGGGGGCGGGTGGGGGTGCTTTGCTGTGTTTTTGCAGACCTCACTGTAAGCCAGGTGTTTCTCAGTGTAATCCGGAGGCTCACCTCTTTGAGTTAATACCCAAAGTACCATGACAGCCACACGTGGTATTTTCCTTCTCACCAGCATCTCCCAAGGCACGCAAGGCTCTGTCTGCTCAGCGTGGGGTCCCTGTCTGATCACTTGGGGGTTGGAGATTGTTGCATTTATAACTCTACAGCTGACCCTTGAACAACATGGGTTTGAACTCCACCATCCACTTATGCGTGGATATTTTCAACAAATATCTGTACTACTTTTGATCAGCAGTTGGGAGTCTGGATGTGGAGGGCCGAGCATGTGCACTGGTCCACCATTTTATACAGGGGGCTCAGCATCAGCTAGTCTGGCATCCCTGGGGGTCCTGAAACCAACCCCATCCCCCGCTGATACTGAGGGACAACTTCAGTTTTGAAGGAGTTAAAAGTTATACACAGATTTTCCAAGGGTCAGCGCTACTATCCCCTCACTGCGTTGTTCAAGGGTCAACCATCCTTCTTTTTCGCCCTACTCTAATAAAATCTTGAATAGCTTCGAGTCGAGGAAAGAAAACTGCCTGCTGCATAAAGTGACACTCGTGTGGTGTCAGCTCCTTGCAGAGCATGTTATCTGAGTGCCAGCTCAATTTTCCTACCTCACAAAGATTCTGTCAAGCAATATCATATGTGTCTACAATCTATTACATCAACCAGACATAATTCACAGGATCACTCATTGGCTTGAAATCAGCCAGAATGTGCACCTGAAGTCCCACGTGAGTGGCATTTTACTAGTATTATGAGCCCTTGATTCCTAACTAGTTTATCCAAGTTTTCCAACCCTAAGAATTCCATGTCCTCTGGATCCTAGATTATATGTAACGTTAGTATAGAAGGTGCTGTTGCAAGAAGGCCTACGAAAGAAAGTGCTTAAGTTATAGCTAATGAATGGCTACAATGTTATTTGGAACTTTGGGGTCGATCTGGAAGGTTACTTCATGTAGCTGCTTCAATGACACATCCTTATTGTTTTATTTCCAGCCAGTGGGGAACCTGCCCCATGTTTGATATGGGAGATGCTCCTGTTATATGCAGCACCAAGGGTCCAACTGGAGTGTGAAGAGATGAGCAAACCCTGCACCCACTATGAGTAGGTCCAGATTGGGGTGCTAGGCTTACAGCCTTTTTAAACTATCAATTAAAACTGAGGTCATTTCTTTCAAGTACGGTTATATGATTTTTCTGTGGTAGTGCCAAGTGAAAAGCTTAAAGACAAAAGCATCTCTGATTCACCCACACTGAAGAATTTAAAGAAAAAGAGATTGGAATAGAACTATTGAGAAATCAAAATATCAAGTTATTAGCCTTTAATACTTGGGTTTACAAAACATGTGATAATTTTTCAAAGCTAGATTTTCCATAAGACAGAACTTGTTCCTGAATATACAGTATAACTCTGAGAACTGAGAAGGAAAGAGACAGAATCAGATCCTATCGTCACGGGAAGACATGCCAGGGCAGAGAGTCCCATTGGCCTACTTGGCATCACATGAACATGGTAGAGGTTTTCCCATGTAGCTCATGTTTCTCTCTCTAAGTAGGAAAGAATTGTTTTTTATGTTAATGAGTTTTAATGGCAATCTTTTAAAAAACATTTGCTTCTCTGCCTCTTTAAACAAAATGGTAGCTATCATTAATAGAAATGTGCTACAATAGCATGGTACCTTCAGGGACTACTGAAATGTGCTGGCCCCTTTTACTCTGGGTCCCAGAGTGATGCTTTTGTGAATCTGATCCATTAGCTGTGAGAATTCAAGGCCGAATTGACAGTTGCCTGAAAAAAAAAAAAAAACAGCAATGTGGTTATAGCAGTAAACTTACTATATATAATACCAAACTAGTACATTCAGCTCCAAATACATCTTCACAATTGATCTATGTGTTAACATACAGATATGTGTATATACATACTAGAGGCCCGGTGCATGAATTCGTGCATCGGTGGGGTCCCTCAGCCTGGCCTGCGGGGATCAGCTGAAACCGGCTCTCTGACATCCCCTGAGGGGTCATGGATTGTGAGAGGGTGGTTCTTGGGTGACACACCTTGGAATCGGGCTCCCTCCTCTCTGGGTTTGGGGTGCAGGTGAAGCAGATTCGGGGCCGACAGTACCCCAGCTGCAACCTAACCCACGGCCAATTCCGCAAGGAATCGGGCACTCTCTTCTACTGGTTGGAGCATCTGCCCCATGGTGGTCATTGCACGTCATAGCTAACAGGCGAATGGTCCAATGGTTGGATGGTCGCTTAGGCTTTTATATATATAGATGAGTGTGTGTGTGTGTTTGGGTTCACCTCATTTCCCAGAAATTTTTTCTGTAGTCAAAATATTATGGCATCATCCTATATACCAAAAGGTGGTGGGTTCAACTATCCTATACAGTGGAGCCTTTATTTATGAATTTAATTTGTTTTGTGACGGAGCTCGTAACTCAAATTACTCATATGTCAAATCTTAAAGTGAACAAGTGTGACACGTGATGCTGGGCTGATGTTGTGGCATTCACTGTGACGTTCGCTGCACCAACTAGCGGTGGGGTATCTGAAGCTGGCTCATAACCTGAATTTTAGCTTGCAACTCAAAGCAAAAAATCAGCCAAGAGACACTCATATCTTGAAAAACTTGTTAGTCGGGACACTCGTAAGTCAAGGCCCCACTGTATAATAAAAGCCTAATATGCAAATCCACAGAACAGCAGAATGACTGGTGGAATGACTGGTCACTATGATGCGCACTGACCACCAGGGGGAAGATGCTCAATGCAGGAGCTTTCCCCAGCCTGCAGGCCCCAGGCCAGCCAAGGTGGGTGCCTGTGCCCTCCCTGCCCCAATCGCTCTGCAGGTCGCCCCACAAATCAGCCCTAATTGTCAGCCAGCCCTAATCGTCAGCCAGGCCTAGGGACTCTACCCATGCACAAATTTTGTGCATAGGGCCACTAGTATATAATACTAGTATATATATATATATATATATATATATATATATAGAGAGAGAGAGAGAGAGAGAGAGAGAGAGAGAGAGAGAGAGAGATATCCTCGGGTAGGATTCAAAAAGTATATTCTATATTTCTATATCCTAAATAATATTTTCCCCATATTCTAAATGGTTAATGTTGCTTGAAGTCTGACCACCTGCTGAATGCAGTCTGTCATACTTTCAGAACAGGAGTCATTACACTAGTCGGTAAAGACAAATGGGAGTTCTCTTGTTCCACCCTCCATCTATATTTCAGTTTATCTTTGTGCTCTCTACCTCACTTCAAAACCAGAATAAGGTGTTTCCACCTCCTCCATGAGGCCGCCCTCAAACATCTATATATATAAAACCCTAACATGCAAATAGACCAAAGGGAGGAACAACTGAACAGCCAGTCACTATGATGTGCGTTGACCACCAGGGGCACATGCGGAACATGGCAGGCATCGGCAGTAGGCGGCAGAGCATGGAACATGGCAGGCATTGGCTATGGCAGGATGGTGGAGCCAGTGAGCAGGGGTGCCAGACCAAGGTGGGGCACCAATCGTGTCATCAGGGCAAGCCTCTGGTGGTTACTGAAAATTCTTTGCTCCCGCGCACCACGGTCCTGCTGGGCGCCCACACCTGCTGCCAGCGGCAGCCCTGCTCGCACCTGCTACTGGCGCCCAGTGCTGGCCCCAATCACCCCTGAGGGCTTCTCCACCTCCCCCTACTCCTGAGGGGCAATTGGGCAGCAGCCGCTGCTCGCACCCACTGCTGGCGCCAGCCCCAATCGCTTTGTGCCATCAGCGTGTGGGAATGGTGGTGGTGGGAGCAGGGCTGTGGGCAGACAGGGGACCAGGGGCACGGAGGATGGGCCAAGACCCACCCCTGTGCCCATGGCAGCGTCGAGGCCCACAGTTCCTTTCAAGGTGCACAAGTTCGTGCACTGGGCCTCTAGTTTTAAAATAAAATCCATTGAGAGAAAAACAGCATGATTGGCAAAAGGCACCATTCATCAATGTAAATTCATTCACGAAGCTTCGTTTCCAGTCTTCCTCCTAAAGAGCCCTTCTTGGCTACCAGTGCAGCCAGGTGTCTCAGAGCTGCTTTTTGATTACGAGGCTGTATCAGCATCGGCCACAAAGTCGGCAAAAGCTATTTATTCATCTGCATGTGCTTCCCCCTCCCAGGTGGGCAGCATGCTGAAGACTCCCAAATTGCCCATTTGGCTGTGCAACATCAATGGAAGCTACAGTGTCCTTTTTAGCACAAACAGGCAGCTCCTAGCAGACTGGAAAGCGGAGCGGCGGTTTGATCTGCACTTGTATGGTGGGCAGCCTTTCCAGAAAAAGCTTGCCCGTCTTACAGTTGGTGAGCATTCCCAACTCCGTGGGCCGTGTGCTTTAATGGGCTCAAAGAGACATTTAACAGGTGTGGATATTCATACTAAGTCTGCAAGCGAATGCTTAGGCTTGATATCTGAAAGGAAACCCTGCGTGAGCCCCATGGGCCTAAACCTCGCACTGTAACCTGGGAATTCTAAGCCAGCTGTAAGTAGAGCAGGGGCTTAGAAGAAGCACAGAGGCACAAATAACTTATAGGTTAGAAAAAAAACAAAAGGTGGAGTCAAATTTCCAAAAAGCCTTCTCCAGGGTCGTTTGTCTTTGAGCTTGTGGCATTTCATGCCTGAGGAAAGAACCGCTAAAACAATTGGGAGGAGAGGGTTCCCACTGGCCAATGCTACCCCATGACCCAACATCAGATGCGCATCCAGTGACATAAATAACCAATCTGATGGTGCATTTCTGTTCAGATTAGTTCACAAAGCCTTTATGAGGGCCTACTAAGTGCCAGGCACTGTGCTAAACACCAGGAAAGCAAGAAGACTAAGTTACAGTCCTGCAAACATCAGAAGGTTCTAGTCCAGTGGAACAAGCAGATAACCGCATGGGTCACCTCACTGCAATTTCAACCATCTTTTTTTTTAACTCATGAGGAAAAAGACTAACCTTAAGATGGCTTTAAACACTGACCCTTTGGACAAGGGAATAAAAGTGATGAGAATGGCGTCTGTCGATTTCATCTCTGACTCTTTGGGCATCACAGGCCTGTTATTAAGACTAAATCTGGAGAAGTATCTTAGTGACTGGCTTATCTGTGCAGCTACTGATTCTTTTTATTTAAATCTGAGAAATATATATTAACCTATTTAATTTAGTGGGGTATGGGCAATATGTTCCTTAAAATATGTTATCATTTCTACTTTACTGTCTTCTTTGAGGAAAGCATCATTTTTTATTAGCTCATGTGCATGGCAAGCGTTCTGGGCACTGTGTTGAAAGCTTTGCATACATTATCCCATTAAATTCTCCCAACAGTCATATGAGGTAGATACTATGATATCTATTATTACATGGAGGAAACGGAGGTGGCCAATAGTTACTAATTGACTAAAGGAAGCTGAGAGATGTTCAGTGCCTTCTCAAATGTTGCATGAAACAAATCTGGGCCTTGAACCCAGTTCTTGATTACCTTACCAGAGTCAAGAATCATTTTGCTCTTCACCCAAAATTTCACAGAAGCATTGAAGAGGCGATAGCACTCCACTTTTCCTGTTTTTTTTCTGACAACATCCGGTGACCTACACCTTGCTCTAGGTTAGATCATGGTATTGCCACGTTCATTACATGACTTGTCAATATTCATGTTCCAAAATACAAAACAACCCAGTTTTTCTATATACCACCCCCCTCTGCGTACTGGTTCTAGGAACACACACGCTGAGCCTGACTCCTGCTCACCCATCCTGTTTGCCTTCCTTCCTGGCTTCCTCGGGAATGGTGTGCATAGGCTGGGGTCTAAGTGCTGGCTGTTCCTCCCTCAGATACTCACTCTCATCACTGGGAAAGTAACCAACGTGAGGAGGAACATGGACCAGGAAGACGGTTTTCTCCAGTGGAGATGGCAATCAGAACCAAGTGGAGAGAAGCCACCATTAACTGGAATGGATCTGTTCCCTTTTTCTAAAGAGAAAGCCAGGGTGTGCAATGAAGTGTCAGAATGATGGGATACAAAGATCAATTTGGGGGGAGATCATTTCACAGAAAACCCCCATTATATTTTGGGACACTCTGTGTTAAGCCCTCTGCAGTTGTAGGAGAAACATGGGCCCTTACTGCAGGGTCTGGGAGCTGCATCCTGTATGCACATGTAGACTACTTCTTTTATTTTATTCAAAAGAAAAATGAAGTCTATTTCCTGCATGCTATTTCTAAATTGTCCTTGCTTGGTGTGATTCTACCCGAGGATGACAGAGCGGGAGGCTAGCTTTCACTCGGGATGAAGTCATTGGGAATGCATCAAACTTTTAGTCCTGGCAAGAACTCGAGCTTCTCAAAGACCTCCCGGTGTGGAGAGCATGCCTTTCCAAGGTTACATTCCATGTGCCCACTTTAGCAAGTTCTTGTCATTAAAAAAATAAATGGGCTTCGTAGGGCTTGATGTGGGTGCTATTCCTGGTGGGCTGGCGTGCATAGCAGTGAACTTGTGGGTTCAAATAGTCATGGCAAGCACACAGAAGGAGACAACCTTTCAGTGCTGTTTGTTTCTTTTCTTTATAAGCTGGATATAGATACGTAGAAAGACAAACAGAAAGAAATCTGGTTCCTAGATAAAATTAAATTATATATAAAAATAAAATCTCTCATGTCATTTTTGTCTCTGTTCAGCAGTGCTTAGAGGAAACAACTCTTTTGAGAATCTGATCTTTCCCTGTCCTGTTGAATGCCTACATTTCTCTTGAAGAAATACACAGAGTAAGACATACTCTTTCTAAAGGAGCACATAGGAGCCGCCTACACCTTTTCCTACCCACCCTACTGGTCTGCCAACTCACACACAAGCCAAAGGTTAGTTTGTAAAGAACAACTTTTCTGCACATATTTTCCAAGTTAATTTGTTAATGCATTTTCATTTGGTTAAAAGAAAAATGTTTTAACTTAGGGAGCGTGCAGAAAATGAAACTTCAAGGCGAGTAATAAGTTATGTCAAAAGAGAAAGACAATTTGGCGTGGATTGCTGATTACAACATCTGTATCATGGGTATTTTCATTCAGGATTTTAAATACACTGGGCAAATGAATGAGTCCCTACAGACCCCTGTCTCATTTGGTCTTAATTTAGCAATATTGTGTTTTCCCTGTGCAGCCTGTTTTTGTTTTAGGAACACGGAGTTATCTCTAACAAAATGTCCCTTTTGGAGTGGACTGCTAGGAAGCTATTGCCAAATGAGAACCCTAGCAAGGACCCAGCCACTGATAAGAGATCTCACTACAAGTGTCTCACACAGCCAGGACATTCCTTTCTAGCAAGAATGGTCCAGCAAGGGGTCCATGACTCTTACACCAGTCAGAGCTCACCCTCTAGGACTGAGCACAGGACCCTTGGTTCCTGTAAAAGGAAGGGCAGGGTGATGGTTTTGTAGACCCCAGCCTCGCACAAAAGGCATTTTTAATTGACCTAGTTTCTGAATTTATTTTCTGTTCCTACCATATTTTGTCTTTGAATTTTAATTTATTTGTAATATATATTATTTTGCCATATGTTAGAGGTTGTTGTATTCTATCTTAAATTGTTCTTGGAACAAATCTTTAAGTAAAATAATACAGCAAAGATTAAGTATCTATGTTTTGTACATAAAGGTATAATAATTTCTATATATAAAGGTATTAATAACTTTATATGTCAATGTTCAGTGAAAATAAGTTTTTATTTTATCTTATAAACAGGGCACCCAGTAATAATTGAAATGTTTTTAAGGTAAAAACTTATTTATTTATTTATTTAAATTAAATCTTTATTGTTCAGATTATTACAGTTGTTCCTTTTTCTCCCATAGCTCTGCTCCACCAGGTTCCCATCCCATCCTCTGCAATTACCCGCCCCCCCCGCCACTATCCTCATCCATAGGTGTACGATTTTTGTCCAGTCTCTTCCTGCACCCCCACACCCCTTTCCCCCCGAGAATTGTCAGTCCACTCCCTTTTATGCCCCTGATTCTATTATATTCACCAGTTTATTCTGTTCATCAGATTTTTTATTCACTTGATTTTTAGATTCACTTGTTGATATGTATTTGTTGTTCATAATTTTTATCTTTACCTTTTTCTTCTTCTACCTCTTCTTAAAGAATACATTTCAGCATTTCATATAATACTGGTTTGGTGGTGATGAACTCCTTTAGCTTTTTCTTATCTGTGAAGCTCTTTATCTGACCTTCAATTCTGAATGATAGCTTTTCTGGGTAAAGTAATCTTGGTTGTAGGTTCTTGCTATTGCTCACTTTGAATATTTCTTGCCACTCCCTTCTGGCCTGCATAGTTTCTGTTGAGAAATCAGCTGACAATCGTATGGGTACTCCCTTGTAGGTAACAAACTGTTTTTCTCTTACTGCTTTTAAGATTCTCTCTTTGTCTTTTGCTCTTGGCATTTTAATTATGATGTGTCTTGGTGTAGTCCTCTTTGGATTCCTTTTGTTTGGGGTTCTCTACGCTTCCTGGACTTGTAAGTCTATTTCTTTCACCAGGTAGGGGAAGTTTTCTGTCATTATTTCTTCAAATAGGTTTTCAATATCTTGCTTTCTCTCTTCTTCTGGCACCCCCATAATTCGGATGTTGGTATGCTTGAAGTTGTCCCAGAGGCTACTCACACTATCTTCATATTTTTGGATTCTTTTTTCTTTTTGCTTTTCCTGTTGAGTGTTTTTTACTTCTTCGTATTTCAAATCTTTCACTTGATTCTTGTGATCCTCTAGTCTGCTGTTGGATCTCTGTATAATATTCTTTATTTCAGTCAGTGTATGCTTAATTTCTAGTTGGTCCTTTTTCATATCCTCGAGGGTCTCACTAGATTTATTGAGGGTCTCACTAAATTTATCGGTGGTTTCTAGAAAATTCTTGAAAAACCTTATAACCATAGTTTTGAACTCTGTATCCAGTAGTTTGCTTTCCTCCATTTCTGTCATTTGTGACCTGTTTCTTTGTCTCTGCAGTTTGGCAGCTTCCCTGTGTTGATAGGGTGGCTTTCTGTGCTAGCTCAACCTCCCCAATTACCTGAGGTGGACACTCTTGGTGCACCCCTATGTGGGCTGTGTGCACAGTCTTGTTGTAGTTAAGCCTTGATTGTAGTTGGTATCACTGGGAGGAATTGACCTCCAGGCCAATTGGCTGTGAGAGTCAGCTGTGTCTATGGTGGGAGAACTTCTGTGCTGGAGACACCCTTCTGGGGCAAGACTTGCTTCAGTGGGGCTTTGGTGCTCACTGAGTCTGCCTCCTGAGTGTGTCCCTTATGGATCTGAGGAGTTGTAATCTGGATGGTCCTACTCTGACCACTCGGTACACTGGCTCTTGGATCTCTAAGGAGTTGCTAATTTAGCCTCTGCCTGAGGCTACCCAGCAGGAGCTACAGAGAGATCTGCAGATTCCTCTTCCTTGTTTGGGGTTTGGAGGTGCCCAGATGAGGCCCAGCTGTGAAGCAATGCAAGCAAGCTGCTGTGGGCCCTTTGGCCTTCATTTGGAAGCTCTGGTTCTCTCTGACCCCGCTGCAGTTTGTTAGGTAATTTTAGATTGCAAAGGGCCAGGCCATTCATATGCAAAAGCCTCTGTGCACAGCTTGGGTGGGGTGAGGTCTCAGGGAATCAACAGGGAAGAGCAAACAGCTATGGCTGATCCTCAGCCCTTCCCTAAGAGGCCCCAGGTCTCAGTGTCCCGGCGGTAATCTCTGCAAGCACCTCTGAGAGAAAGCTGTCCTTGAGTTCCGACCAATGCCAGACAGTCCAGTTTCTCCCCATATGAGTCTGGGTCCCCAGAGACTCGCCCAGAACTGGAGTTCAGAGCGGGAGCGTGTGTCTCCCTCTCTACTGAAAAAGACAACCATGTCCTCAGTTGCCAGCCCTTTCCATGCACACCTCCATACCTCTGCACTTTACTTCCGCACCTCCTCTGAGTCTCAGTGTGCTTTTCTCTGTCCTTCTAGTTGTAGAATTTCCACTCAGCCAGCCTTCCTGTGGTTCTGGATGATGTCCATTTTGTCTTTTAGTTGTATTTTTTTAAAATATATTTTATTGATTTTCCACAGAGAGGAAAGGAGAGGGACAGAGAGTTAGAAGCATCGATGAGAGAGAAACATCGATCAGCTGCCTCCTGCACACCCCCATGGGGATGCACCCGCAACCAAGGCACATGCCCTTGACTGGAATCAAACCTGGGATCCTTCAGTCCACAGGCCGACGCTCCGTCCACTGAGCCAAACCAGTTAGGGCTTAGTTGTATTTTTGAAGTGGTTGTGCGCAGCAGCAATTTCAGGTGTTTACCTATGCCGCTATCTTGGTTTCTCCCAATAAAAAATTATTTAAAAGTAGCTAGAAATTTCCTGGGATCATCAGTTTACCTTTGAACTTTCTGTGTTTTGAGAAAAATGACTGATTGTCCTTTCAGCTTCTCAAACATGGAGCAGGCAAAAGCCATTTGCTTGAAGACAAGGATCATGATTTTTCTGAATAGTTACCTAAACTGACTGTGTCTTTAGTGGAACTGAGCCCTGAAGGAGATGGCAAACACTTTTCTTTTTCTCAAATATTGAGTTGGACTGGAATGTCCCTCAAAATCATTGTTTGTTCTTAAAGAAGATGCATGTAATATTTTTCCAAATGTGTAGGCCAGCGATCCTCTTCACCTAGTACTGGCTGGTTTGGCTTCGTGCTGTACAGGTTTATGTGCAAACTTCAGTCACACCTGGACCTGATTTTATTTTTAAGTGAGTAACAAACTAGGGACATTGTTAACTGTTGTAAATGCCTTGTCAGGGCCCTAGACTGACACAACTGTTCATTCATTGGGGAAACTTTTTAAACTTCCCCTACGTGCCAGGTGGAGGCAGGAGAAACAGTGAGCAGAGCTAGCTGTGGCCCCTCCTCTCTCACAGAGCTTAGGCTCTCTGAGGCGATGACAATAGGACTAATAAAAACACCT